AGCTCTAATTCAGCGTTCATTTGTCTTGTCTGGCAGTCTCAACGCCTTCATTACTCAGCGTGAAGCATGTGTACCCAGTAATTATTACATTTGGAAAAGGCGCACACACAGACGCTGAATGTAGCTCTGCAGCCCAATAGAGACATTGTTTGTTTGTTCCCAAACACTGGGAGTAAATACATGTGGGTTTGTAAAGTATATCATTTTCTAATTTCTTCTCTTTATCACCACATGGTGTAAATGTTTAGGAGGTTAATTATAGGGTATATAGACCCTGTTTAAGAAAAATGGCGAAACTTGTCTGTTGCATTAGGAGCTGACATTTGCAAATAACACTGATTGCTTTGAGGAGAGCACTCAAGCGATAAGCTCTAACTTGTGTTGTTTTTGCCGGAGGAAAACCAGAACAGTTAATTAAATCAACACTGACACTGGACTCTTAATGTTAGATATATGCATTCCCATCACTTTTAGATAAAAATAATTCATATTAAAAAATACAATTTTGTATTCATTGAAATGCTACATGTGATACTGTACTGATGTCTCTTAGTTCTGACCCATTCTATTATACTAGTACATTATAATATAAGGATATTTTCCTTTTTTGTGTTTGCTTAATATTTTAATTTAGAGCATATTTCTGAGGCTTTAGTCTGTGAAAAGAACATTTTGGTAGACTTAAGTGTGACCAAAGGTTTTACAATCCTCCATATTTCCATAATTTCAATTAGTATAACCCTTTGTGCAAGATTAAAATAGGTTTGTTATGGTTTTATAATTCATTCTCAGATGAGCACTGAGTGACACATCTTTGACTGTCTGAGGCTGCTCTTCAGAGGCTTGTTGTCATTCAAACAGGACATAACCGCTGGTCCGCTGGGAGCGACACAGGCCATGTCTGAGATCAGCTCTTTTTGACAGGAAACTCACTCTGTTTTATTCTCTCTGTATTCACCAAACTGAGAGCAGGCTTTATACAGTAGACTGCACATGGTCACATAACCAGATGTGGGTCTGAGGACACTGAGGTGTCTAGTAATATTAGCCCTTTGACAACTGTCAGAGAGACACTTTGTGCCTTGTACCAAACTGAAGGTACTTTGTGTACTGACAGGTTAGCTCATACTCACTAAAAGGAGAAAGTCAGCAATTGTTCTCAAATAGCAAAGTGTTCCGGACAAAACTACTTTTAATGTATTTCACAACTTCAGTGTAGACAGTGAAGTGTCTGCTAATACCAATATTTCTAAACAGCTGAAAAAGCTTTTTTTCAATATAAAATGGTTTCAAACGTATATGCAATACTGCTTAAAGAAGATTTTTCTTTATTTAACTAACAGGACCAGATCTAAATCCCACTGACCAAATTTGCTTTGGATATCAGGTGTGCATGCCATGCTAAAATATCAATGTAAAATTCAAGTTTAGAAATTTAACACAAGTTCATATTGCCCTCAAGCATTACAAATGTGTGCTTGAAGCAATACCAGTGCAATGTATTACTGGGTACAAACTCTAAAGATACTGATGCACAAAGCTGCATCAGTATCTTTAGGTGTTAATCTTCTTAATACAAACAGGAAGTATTTAGTTGGGTGTCTTTATGCTTAAATACACATCTTCCAGCTCCATGTCCGTCTCTGTATTTATCGCTCTAATCCACTTTTTGGAGCAGTGTGGTGGACGCATGGTAACGTCTGTTATTGATGGTGTGTGCTGTGGTATCAGGGTTAATCAGCGTTTTGCCTCCTCTTTCTTAGGTCACATTCCATCATCACTAAGCGTAATCCTCCGCACCACGGACAAGATCGTGTGGGCAAATGAGTTTGAGCGTAAGACATACATTAAAGTAGCTTTTCTCATCCTGATCCCTGATGCCTGAGCCTGTGTTTTCATTCATTCTGTTTCTTCACAGCCATTGAGCTGACCTGTTTGATAGAGTCTATTTCAACAAACAAACCAAGAATTGAATGGAAAAAGATAAAAAATGGTGTGCCAAGTTATGTCTACTTTCAGAACAAGATTGCAGGTAATCTGACATTTTACTGCAAATAGAGTAATTTCACCTTTTTTTCAAAGCTTTGCTAAATGAAAGTATTGTGAGAACGTTGGCGGTCTTATTGGGCTGTGAAGTCGCACTGTGTGTTTGAATGAGCCTTTGTAACAACAGTTTCCTCTTTTGAAAAAGGCGACTTGGAGCACAGGGCCCAACTCCGAGAGCCAGCCAACATTCTGATCTTCAATGCGACTCGCTCTGACACAGCAGAGTACCGCTGTGAAGTAGCAGCTATTGACGATCAGAGGGACTTTGATGAAATCCTGATCAGTTTGGCTGTAAGAGGTACAAACAGGGTTACTTTACGTGCTAATTATATTGTATTTTTTGTTTAGTAAATACATTTTACATGTATTGATGTTATACATTCTATATAGAAAGCCGTACCAAGTACCATTGCATTGAAAAATGGCTGTTGATGTAGTTCATTTACATGTCATGCTTTTCTGGCAAAAAGGAAGGACGTTGCTTTGTTAAAATGCATGAAATAGACATACTTTTTTTTTCAAGAGGTTGAACAAGCACTGTAACTTTATGTGTGTGCGTAGTAAAACCTGTAGTCCCGCGATGCAGTGTGCCTGAGGCAGTCACTGTAGGAACGTCCACTGAGCTGCGCTGTCTGGAGAACGAGGGCTTCCCAGCTTCTCAGTACCGCTGGTTCCACAACAATGAAGAGCTGCCTCAGGACCCTAAAGCCAGCCCCCGGTTCACCAACTCTTCTTACAGCATCAACCCAGACACAGGCAGCCTGGTGAGAGACAGTACAATACAAAAATTATATCCTGTTTGTCTTGCTACTAGAAAAAAGATTCTGTAGGGATTTAAATTGACTAATTTAAAGGGACTGGGTAAAATGGACTACTCTCAGTATTAGTTACTCAGAGTTGTATTTCAGCTGATTCATGCATGCTCTGAAAATTCCTGTTTTCATTAAAAAATAAATAAAAACACATACATAAAAATCCACTTCATGTGGCGGGAAATCCCACTATGTAGAGGTGGGGACCTGTTGTCTTATAGCTTAATAGAAAGTGGATAAAGTAATACTTTTGTGTATGTAATAACATAACACACATCACAATCTCTTTAAGAATATTAACAAGTGAAATACAGGGTGATGCCTTTATATAAATAGCTCCACTAATGTCTTCGCAGAAATTTCAAAGAGTGAAGAAAGAAGATGCAGGGGAGTACTACTGCCAAGCCAAAAATGACGCTGGCTTTGCACAGTGTCCAGGGATGGTGATGGAAGTCTGTGAGTGTTAGTTTATGTTTTAGTGAAACCGTAGAATTTCTTAAATCTAGCTAACCGTTTATAACATCCTGTCCTCATGCCTGTGTGCAGATGATGTCGACATCCTCGGGATATTCCTCAAGTCATTTGGAGCTGTGGTCGTGTTCTTCTGTGTGTCGTTCACCATCTGTCACACATTCAGGCGCGGCTGTTTTAACAAAAAAGGCCACAACGAGAATAGGTTGGGACCACTATTAAATATAATCACCAATACACCACTTTGCTGGGTTTTTTTTGTCAGTTATGGTTATTGTATGTTTTGCAGCTACAACTGGCCAGCACAGAATAATGGCACTGACTATGGTGACGCGGATGAGGTAAAGCACAATATTAAAGAGAAGCAAAATAAATAAAAAGGCTGTTGTGTAGTTATATTGCTTCTATGTTATTTGAACAGGGGCACTTCCGCCACAAGTCTTCATTCATTATTTGACAGCTGAAGACGAGATAAAACACCCTTCGTGTGTGACGACTGGTAATGTCTGAAGTGTAACAAGGCACATAATTCTCTGACTGATGCACATCCAATCCAATCACCAACTTGCCAAAGTCCTTTTAATATCATTTTGTGGCACTGATATCAGTTTTTTATAATCTCACAATATTTTGTGATGTTGAATTTTGTTTTCGTTTGTGTTCCTGCATTTCAGTATTAGCTGGAGGAGGTTTCATTCCTTAACAGTTTTATAATCAACTTAATTTTGATAACTGTTGATACATTTTCTACAATGTACATGATTTTACAGAACTGTTGACTTTTCATAGGATAAGCATCTTGTGTTCCCATGTGAAAAAATGTAAATACACTGTAGTAGGTACACTGGCAATAAGTAGCAGATGGCAAAAAACTGCAGTTTGGAAAGGCACAATTTTACAAGTCATTGTATCGATACCAGAATAAAACTAAAATCTATTAATGAACATATACATTTGATTGAGCAACGTATACATATTTAACAATGCTGCAAAAATGTACTATGGTACATATCATTTATTATGGAGTGCTGTTTCTTTGTATAAGTGACCTTCTGTGCTATACTTAATATTTTGAGTATTGGACATATTGTTCAGAATTTTCAGTATATATTGTACATAAAAAAATATAGTTTTCATTTTTTAATTTCTTTTTTTATTACGCTCCATACCTTATTGTAAATATGGCAATAAAACTGTTGAAACATGTACTGTATTTACTGTCAAGTGTATTGGTGTGTTAAATGTTAACTTCAACAACTGTCAGTGCCAGTGATCTGTGTACCAACTCAGGAAGTCTCCACTGTTCATAAATGTTCATGTTTTTTCTATTAAATCATTTAACTATAATGTTTTGATCTTGTGGGCATGTTAAAATGACATAAAGTGACATAAGCTAAAGACTGGGGTCTGTCTAGCAACAAATTCTGGACCCTGAGTATAAATCAGTTAAAAACTAAGACTCAAGACATAATAATAAAACAACAACAAACCTCTATTATGTAATCCCAAATGTGTTTATTATGTAGGTCTACGTGTAACACTTTTTTTTATTTTTTATTTAATTCCACTTAGAATAGGTCAGTGTTAAATAATAATAAATAAATAAAAGCAGCTTTAGGAGTTTAATATTACTTTGAAAAGCTCCACCCGGATGTAATTGTGCAAGTGTAGATGGCGTACATCCTGTTCATTTGACAACATTCAGTTTTCTCTCTTGAAAAACAAAATATAATGACAGTAGGGCGATTTTATAATTAGCAAAGTCAGCTTAATTTCAACCTTTGCGGTCTTTGCCGTAAACATTACGCATCAAGGGCTGGAGCAGATCGTGCGCTAATGGCTGCAGTATTTGGCGATTTGGTTGTGCTACTTTGATTGTTGATTTGAAGAGAACATGGACATGTAGCAGCGAGGTAAAAAAAAAAGATAAATAAAAATCATCTTAGTTGCTTCGTAACAGCGTTAATACTTGCTTCAAACCCCGGTTCACATCAACAGGCTTTTACATACAAGTGTAAAGGAGCCTCTTATCTTACAAGTGGAAGACGGGATAGTCATAGGACTGTCCTCTGCTGCACACGGGGGCCGTGACAATGAGTTTCTTTAGTTTCGGACAGAGTGCTGAAATTGATGTTGTGTTAAATGACGCTGAGACCAGAAAGAAAGCTGAACACAAGACTGAAGATGGAAAGAAAGACAAATACTTTCTTTTCTATGACGGTGAAACTGTTGGAGGCAAGGTTAACGTGACACTGAAAACCCCGGGCAAGAGGCTGGAGCACCAAGGAATAAAAATCGAGTTTGTTGGTCAAATAGGTAAGAGACAAATGACAACAATTAATCTTATTATCAGAAAAGAGCCAATTGCTACTATTAAAGACTATATATTAACGGAATAAAAAGTAGGCCTATTAGAGTAGGTTAATATTAATTCTTAATAATTGTGTATTTTTCTTTCATTCTTTCAGAGCTGTACTACGACAGAGGAAATCACCATGAGTTTGTCTCTCTTGTCAAAGATCTTGCTCGACCCGGTGAGATCACTCAGTCCCAGACCTTTGACTTTGAGTTCACTCATGTTGAAAAACCTTATGAATCATACACTGGGCAGAATGTAAAGTTAAGGTGAGTATTGCCAGTATATTCCAGTGCCAGTTGTGACTACATGATGAAAACACTTTTCCTTGTCCCATTTACAGATACTTTCTTCGGGCCACTGTGATTAGAAGACTGAATGACATCAGTAAAGAAATGGACATTGTGGTGCACACACTGAGCACATACCCTGAGCTGAACTCTTCCATCAAGATGGAAGTTGGCATTGAAGACTGCTTGCACATAGAGTTTGAATACAACAAGTCCAAGTATGCATCTACTACTATTACTACTACTTAACAACTGTGATATTACTCTTTAAATATTTGTCAATTACTTGTCCAGGTACCACCTAAAAGACGTAATTGTGGGTAAAATCTATTTCTTGTTGGTGAGGATCAAAATAAAACATATGGAGATTGACATAATCAAACGTGAGACCACAGGAACTGGCCCTAGTGTGTACCACGAAAATGACACCATTGCAAAGTATGAAATTATGGATGGTGCACCAGTCAGGGGTAAAAACACACCTACTATACAGAATACTCAGTTGCTGTAACAAAATAGGTCTTAGACTGTTTTGATCGTATTTGTTATTACTTTTAGGTGAGTCCATTCCAATTCGATTGTTTCTGGCTGGCTATGACCTTACTCCCACCATGAGGGACATTAACAAAAAGTTCTCAGTGCGATACTACCTGAACCTGGTTCTGATAGATGAAGAAGAAAGGCGATACTTCAAACAGCAGGTAGAAACTGGGTTACAAATAAAAGCTTTTGAAATGAATGTGGCTTAGAGACTTAACTTTGATTGTGTATATTTTGTAATATGTCTTCTACTGTTTTCTTGAAGGAGATCACATTATGGAGAAAGGGTGATGTGGTGAGGAAAAGCATGTCTCACCAGGCAGCCATAGCATCTCAGAGGTTTGAGGGCTCAGCGGCCTCAGAGAGTGCACTGGAACAGGCTGCCAAAGAGGAGAGTGGGTAAACTGCACTGCCTATGGCCTTGTTACAAACTCCTGCTTCTACAGATGGCAGAGACAGACAGACTGATAATGTATCTGGTGTAGCACCTATTTTACTCACTGCTGAGGGAGGAACAAGGGAGATTAACATCCGCAATGGAACAGAAGAGTTGCATCTCAAAGCGGCTTCATGCTGCTGCCATGATTTCAGAGACTTCTGGTCTTTCTCACACTGTGTAAAAAGTATGTAATTTACTAAGTTTCACATGACCACGTTCTGTTTTGTCATTGTCTTTCTCATTTTCAATTTCTTAGCTAAATTTGTAATTACTCATTTTTATGTTTCATACATTCCAAATGTAATTAATTCCTAATCATTTAAGGTCTCAGGTGTAACCTGAAACCATAATGCACTGCTTTCATCACCAATGCATTTGGATGTGTGCACTGGAAATTTTGATGGGAGGATTGAAATGTATTTTCAATCCCTCCTAGTATTATCCTTCTCTTATTTCTGTAAATATGTCCAGCCTACCTTTTCCTGTCCCAGTTTGTGAGAGAATTAAGTACACAGAACGTCAGAATCTCTCTCCATGCTTTTCCTCAGCATTCCAGTGGTGTTCAGAACGTGTTCTAAGGAATTTGTACTAAAGCTGGATAGTAAGAAGTCTTCTCTAACTTTACTAGAAACTTGAAGGTTGTGCCTAACATTTATCAAGCAAATACGATTCTCTTACCTTTTATCATTTCCATAATAAATACTATTAATGATTTATTTCTTATTTCAACTAAAGATTTACTAAACTGATGCCAAATGAGAAACTTAAGACTCATTGATCTTTGTTAGATAAATTGTTGCTAAATTGTGACAGTTTAAATTTAAGTGATTGTGTCAAACTCTTGTAATTGTATTTTTTGATTAAGAGAAAGTTTAATGTTTGGTCCACTATCTTTTTAGTCCTAGTTTTGCATACTCTTCGATGGCTTCTCTAACCAGTAACACTTACTTTAGTTACAAATTAAATAAAAGAAAAATGTGTGCACTCTTTAGTGAGAATGCTGTTTTATTGAATTATAAATCTTTATTTACACACATTCTGAAAAAAAAAAAAAAAAATTATATATATATATATATATATATACAATATGGACTATACCAATGGGTCCTTGTCTTCTAAACTCAGCATGAAGTCAAATTCTTCTGTCAATAAAAAAAATGTTACGATCACTTTTCTATCACAACACTTACATGAAAGTGAAATTATCGTGAGAAAAATAGCTTGCTCACCTTTAGTTAATGGTTGAACTGACAATCTTGCTCGTGTAAAAAGAGCAAGGTTTTTTAGAGGTCCTTCTTTTGCACTGTGCTGATGATAGTACTTTTTAAGCTCTGACAAAGGAAGATATCGCTTCATCATTCTTTGATACTGGACATCAACCTAAATGGTATGAAACAAAAATGTAATCAAATTTGTTTGAATGGTATTAAACAGTACATTGCAGCAGCTATTTATAAGTGAAATATTTGACCATGCTCCACTTGGGATTTTCAGGTTTGCTTGATGCATCATAGTGAACATCCTTTTTATCAAACTGAGTGTGGTCCACATATGCCTTCTTCACAATCTACAAAAGAAACAGTTTAGTAGTTAAGAAAAATACTGTGAAAATTCCATTCAATTTGTGATCAAAGTGGTTTACTTTCATGAGCCCTGCTATGCCTGGCTCCTTGCAGTTGCTGTGATAGAAGAAAGCCAACTGTCCCTCTTTCATTTGCCTCATAAAATTCCGTGCCTATAAAAAACAAAATCCAAAACAATGAGAAAAACAAACACATCTCTACATTTTTATGAAGGCCTATCTGTGTATTGAATGATATGCTTTCAAACTTTACCTGATAATTGCGGACTCCATCCCAGCAGCCAGTTTGATCAGGCAAAGCTTTTAGATCTTCAATCCCAAACTGTAAAACAAAAAGACAAAAACTGTAGTCCCCTAACTTTGACTATTTTATGAGGTGCTCTGTGATAATACAATTTGAATATAATATAATAATACATGTTAGCAATACATTAGTTATATATTGCTTTTCCAGATGCACAAAGTTGCTTTACAAGTTCGTATAGTATTCATTCATTGCACTGGTGGCAAGCTAATATTGTAGCCACAGTTGTTCTGGAGTAGACTGATGGAAGGTGCCAATCTGCATCATCTACCCCTCCAAACAGCAATCACTCACGCACCACATTAACATTATAGGCAATGTGGGTCAAGGGTCTTGTCTAAGGACACAATAGCAATTTGCATTAGAGTCACTGCTGCCACAACAGATGAGTTTGGTTTGAGTTTGAGTATGAGTTTAGTAACAAGGTATGGCCACTTTTACATTATGCAATAGCCTGAATACATATGTAATTGTTATGTTGTAAGGGACAAGGGTCAATTTCAGACTTTGAAAAAGTTGTGGGAAGAAACACTACTTAAACACACATAATCCAAATAAAGGTCATCTTACCTTTACATCAATGCCATTCTCAAGTCGACTCTCGGGCTCAGACTTCATCAGCCAGTGACTGTACTCAGGGGCAGTGTCTGCAGTGTCCTTACTTCCACTTTTAACTGAACTTACAACTTTCCTCCTGCTCCCTGCTGTTTTATCAACATCCTTTGCAGATGGCATAGTTTCATCACCCCCATCCAAAGCAAAGTCAGCTTCACCTGTGTGAGAAATTAAAGTCAATAGGCCTAACTAAACAATAGGTTATTATATGGTGTATAGTTACCTGAAACTGCTAATGTTTTACTAAATTTGGTCCTTTTCTTTGGAGCCATCTCTTATGAAACACAGGGTCAAGCGATAAAAAGTAGGCACACGGCGGAAAAGAAGTTGAGCTTTTGGTTTAGAAGTGGTTATACAGTGAGATGTCTTTTCTGTTGCTAAACTAAATATAGTTTCTAACCTAAAAGAAACCGCAAAACATTGGGTAATACAACTTATGCAGAACCGAGTCTAACCTGAGTACAGCTGTGTGTGAGTCTAATAATCTGATAAACGTTATGGAGGCATGGATCTGTAATAAGATCTTCCATAGATGGAGGACGATGCTCCAGTCGTCTCTGTACCCGTCTTTGTGTATTTGTGCCAGTGTCTCGTAGCGCCACTCCGGTGCTTCCGGTGAAAGTTCCGCTTCTGTCTCCGCCTCATGTCTTTCCGCTTTTGGCTCGTCTGCAGACAACGAGCGCGGGCTCACAGACATTTAGTCAATAGCTAAGCTCTTATGAGACAAAAGTACAAACTTCAGCTAAAAAAAAAAGCTGAAAAGATTATTATCTGAATATCACAACACGTTTAACAAATGACATGACAGAAAAACCTGAAAACAAGACAGGCTACCGGTTACCATAGCAACGGGGTCTGGGTCAGCTGACCGGGGTAGGGCAGGTTCATGACTTTTCAGAAAAAAACTATTTAATAGCTTAGCTCATAAAACAATCTAATGTGACTTAGTAAAGAAAACCTTCATTCTGTCACTTTCATCTTATTTAAAAATAAGGGACTGAGACTAAAAAGTGAAATCAAGCTCAAATTTAATTCATTTGAAATTTAAATAAATCACAAATCTGGTTACAGTCATCAAAATAGGACACCTGGTATACGGGCAAAAAAACAAAACAAACAAAACCAAAAAAACAACAACAAGGTATTTTGTAACCGGGTATTTCTGTTTATTCTGTGCTTGAATACTGTGAATCCAGAGGTCTGGTCCTTGTGTTCCTTCTCCAGCACATGGCACCACTGGGCGACACGGGTACTTGGTTCTTACATTTTCCTCTGTAAAACTCAATCAAAAGTCACAGCCGTCAGATTTCCCCACATTTCATAATTTTGCTTGAGAAACATGTTTTTTTTCCTTTCTAAATTCTACACACATTAAACTATGTTGAATAAAATGTGTAAAGATGTACTTTTTATTCTAGCAGCAGGAGGCATTTTGGTAATTACTGACTAAATCAAACCTATAAATATAACTTTAAAGCTACAAGATAAAAGACAGATTTAAGTTGGTACAATCAATACATTAAAGTGCATATGGCATGTTAGCAATTATATTTATGAAGATTTCTAATTTTTTTCCCTGGTTGACAGCAAATACAGAGCCAATTTCATAACTTTTACCTAGCAACCATACTGTGAAAAAGGGGCATGTCTAAAATCACCAAACCAAGTAAAAATAATTAGAAAAACCTGCCATACACACTTTAAGATCAGGCTAAAAGAGGCAGGTTTTACGCCGAAGCCACCCTCTCAATTTATCCAGGTTGGGGACTGGCACAGAGGGACACACACATCCATTCTAACTGAGCGGACACGCTTCTCCACAGATATGACTTGTAACTTGGCCTACTGATGCCACCTTATTTTCTCCATGGAGACTGATGCTTATAAAACTACAGTGGACTTTTCTAGACAAAGGAATAACATCCATGGAGACAAGGATATGGGGATCCTCTGCCAGAAAAAGTTACGTAGGGTGCCTTTAAAGGATTTTTCATTTTATACCAATTTCACTAACTAAAAAATGAATCAAGGGATAACAATCATTGCATCTCTAACCTGTGTAAGGCCTTAAAACCAACATTATGCATGCAAGCTGTACTTTAATACTACAGCTGAAGAGGAGGTTTGTGATGAAGACTGCCATTTCTCAATAAGCCAAACAAACAGTCCACTCCCTTAAGCAAACGTTTGGGCTTCTATTCAAATGACTGTCTTCTGCCACAGGAGCTCAACAAACATGTAGACAATTTTATAACAGAAAAATTGTGGTAGAGGATAAGTGTAGAATAACAGTACATTTTTCTATCAAAACACTATTTCAGAACACTCTATTTGTTTCTCATTATTGTAAATAAATGTATAACTTTTTAAACTGCCTTGCACAACTTTTCTGGTGGAGCTTTCTCTTCACTGCCTACTCGCTGTCTCAATGTTAAATTCTATTTAGTCCCTAAATCCAGATATGGACATTAATAACAGACACTCCTACTAGCTTTAGCAGCAGGTTTGATTGCGTTTCACCCCACGCTAAACCAACGGTGGAGGAAAGTTTTACAAGTACAAAGTTTCTTTTCTATGCAAGATAGACAATCTTAATGCCATAATGTGGAACATTTCAGGCAAAGCAATAAACTCTTCATAGTGAATGACAAATATTTGACAAATCTCTTTCAGAAAATGTTACCTAGTACATCTTTAAATTTAAATGTTCCCTCTAGGTGGTGCTTTGCTGTCATCTCCATGTCTGGTGTTGTTGTGAGTAAAGTGAAGAAAATCCAGATATGTTTCAATATAGTCAAGAGTTATTTCAACTATGACAGTGCTGTAGAGTAAAATAAGTAGTTGTTGATTCACAGTGTTAACGTCAAACGCTTAGAAAGTGTCTATTTTCATTACTACACTACATCAGTGATGGGCTTTAGTAACGTTTCCAGCGGGAGAGCTACAGTCCGAGAGAGAAGCCACATTTCACCGTCCGAAGCTAACACCCAACAGCGTTTGTATATTTCTCAAGTCTAAGTAAAAAGTAGAAGTCCAAAAAATGTGTGAGAGTAGCAAAGAGTAAAAGTACTCTGAGAAATTACTCCTCAAGTAACTTAAGTTAAAAATAACTGGACAAAACATCTGATTTGTCATTTAAAGTTAATGCAATTGCGAGGATGAAACATGAAATAGTACTCATGTCTGGTATTTTCACAAAGGGAAGAAAGTACAGTATCTGTAAATAGTGACTCAAATAAATAATAAATAAATAAAGTATTAGGTCATAATTAGGGGTGTCAAATTATCGCGTTAATTGCGATTAATTAATTACAGTCATATTTAGCGCGTTATGTTTTTTAATCGCGTTAATCTCATTTTTAATCTCTAACTTTACTGTTTCTATATGTGAGTTGCTTTATTATAAAACCTGTTTTTATGTGTTGTTGGGACAACAACACACACACACACACACACAAAAACACATTTAAACATTTTTTATTTCGGTAATTCCACTCATTGCCGGAAAACCACACAAAACGCGCGCAGTAAGAGCGATGTAAACGTCATGTTTACGTTGGCGGCGTCAGTCGCACAATGGACGAGGTGGAAGAGCCAGTAGAACAGAGGCAGCAGTGCACAGGTAAAAACGCATTCGTGTCTTGGAAATTATTCTCCCGACGTGAAATATAAAAGAAAATAATAAATATAATATCGCCTACAACTTAAATGTCACTGGTGAAAACAACCTGCATAGACTCATGATGTCTGCACTACTGTCCTATAGTGACCTGCCACATGAGAGGACACACGCACACAAACACACACAAACACACACACAAACACACACCTTCATCATCGTCATTAACCTGAGAACGCGCGGACCACGTTTCCTTCCGTAGTTACTGCGCGGACACCGCTGTCCTCCCGTGAGCCGTGTGTGGATCGTGTTTTCTCGCGTACGCGGCGTAAACCGCGCTTCCTCCTGTGCGCCTCTAAACCAGAACTAATCCAGTCCAGGACTAAACCAGGACTAAACCAGAACTAAAACCAGGTCTAAACCAGGTCTAAACCAGGACTAAACCAGAACTAAAACCAGAACTAAAACCAGGTCTAAACCAGGTCTAAACCAAGACTAAACCAGAACTAACACCAGGACTAAAACCAGGATTAATCCATTCCAGGACTAAACTAGGACTAAAGTAGGACTAAAGCATGTCTAAACCAGGACTCATATACAAAGCATTTCTCTATCACTTTTTATTGTCTTTAAGTAGACAAAAGTTATTATGTTCAGATTTCGTAGTCTTTGCTACTTTACAGCAAACAGTTTCTTATTCATGGAGACTTGGGCTCAACAGCCAATTTGGAGAGATTTGTTAAACAATAAAGTCACTTTTTTTGTTCTATATCAGGCCTTTGATCTGCCACAATAATGTAATAATGAATTTAAATGAAAATACCTCAAATTGAAGGCTTTTCACAGCAATTTTCAGGTGAGATTAAAATGAGATTAATTAATTACAGATCATAATTAATTAATCTCTCAATTTTTTTAATCGCATGACAGCACTAGTCATAATACATCACGTCATTGTAATTCCGTGTCACCTGCTCTACACTCAGTGTATGTAACACGATTTCGAACATTTATGAGCTATTTCAAGTGATAAATACAGAAATGTTGGTGGTAAGATAATGTCTCCTACGTTTATTTCATTGTTGTCACCTGATCGGGTTTTACATGTTTTTTTTTTTTGCATGGTTTTACAGCGACTCTCTCCTCAAATAAAATGTAAAGTTAAATCAAAACAAGTTTGCCAGTAGTTGCATATATAAACCCCAATAATGGAATTTCTGCCATTCTCTGTCTGCACTCCCAGAGGGAAGTCACATCTCACCGTCCGAAGCTAAACTAAGCTAACAGCTAATAGCGTTTGTTTTTCAGCAGAACCTGAAGTCAACGAGAATCACGAGACTCAAGTCCAACCACCTGAGCTCTCACATGCCCCGGGTCAGAGTACTTTACCTTTTTAGGACACTCTGCAGTTAATTTATTCATAAAAATACTAAATATATTTGGTCTAATGCTAGTGGTAGTAAGCTAACTAACTTAGCTGTGACAGTCAATGTTGCTGTCACTGATGTCCATAAAATTGGGTAAAAAAGCCACAAATTGTAAGTTGAGTAACGTTACTTCAAAAAATATTTCTCAAGTCTAAGTAAAAAGTAGAAGTCCAAAAAATGTGTTAAGTAGCTAACAGTAAAAGTACTCGGAGAAACTACTCCTCAAGTAACTTAAGTTAAAAGTAACTGGACGAAACATGTGATTTGTCATTTAAAGTTAATGCAATTGCGAGGATGAAACATGAAATAGTACTCATGTCTGGTATTTTGACAGTGGGAAGAAAGTACAATATCTGTAAATAGTGACTCAAGTAAATGTATTAGGTCATAATACATCACGTCATTGTAATGTAATGTAATGTAATAGTGACAGGCCTGCCCTACACTTAGTGTATGTAACGCGATGATTTCGAACATTTATGAGCTTTTTCAGGTGATAAATACAAAAATATTGGTGGTAAAATAATGTCTCCTGCGTTTATTTCATTGTTGTCACCTGTTGTCCGGGTTTTACATGTTTTTTTTTAC